ATACGTATTAGCCGACTTATCTTATACTTAAAAGAACTACATATGACTGACAAAGTTCTTCCGCTCAATTATTGTTAGCATACTTATCTTCTAATATCTAAAATCACTACATATGAGAGAGAAAGTTCTTCCACTCAATTGTTAGACGGCTTATCTTGTACTCCCTCCGTCCCATAATTTACTTCCAACTTTCCCTTTTCGTCTGTCTAAAAAAGAACTTCCCTTTCCCTTTTTGGCAAAGAATTTGTGGTTCACAACAATTCTTACACATTTTTATACATTTCTCTCTCCTCTGCACAATTCTCCACCACACAATTCTCACTTTCTTAATCTGTGTGCCATTTGTACTATGGAAGTAAATTCTGGGATGGAGGGAGTACCTAATAACATTATACTTCCTCCGTTCCTATTAAAACTTCCATCTTTCCTTTTTTGTCCGTTCCAATTAAAACTCCCACTTTCCCTTTTTAGTAAAAATTTTGTGGTTCACAACATTTTTACACATTTCCCTCTTCTCTCCACAACTCTCCACCACACAATACCCACTATCTTAAATTGTGTGCCAAACCTATTCGGAAGATAAAATAGGAACTGAGGGAGTATATGATAGAGAAATTTCTCTCGCTCAATTGTTAGCCCCCTTAATTATGACCTATTCTTCTTATACCTAAAATTTTATACCTAAAACACTATATATGTGATAGAAAATTATCTAACTCAATTGTTAGACGGTTTATCTTATACCTAAAAGTATTACATATTAAAAAGAAATTTTGACCGCTCAATTGTAAACTGTATTTTCTTATATATTTCAAAGCACCCCATATGAGAGAAAAAATTATCTTGCTCAATTATTAGTCGGCTTATCTTCTACCCAAAAACACTATATATGAGAGAAAAAATTCTCTTACATCTTCCACAAATGTGTAATGATTCACCCAATAATAATTTTATTTCCTCATCTTCCACATCTTCATTATTTAATTACATACGTAATTCCTTTTAAATTTACTTTCTAACATTAGATTGTTAGCGTTTTGAGGATTTTTTTCATACCGAGTATATATTTTCAACTGCAAGAGCTTATGCTATGGAGGTTTATTATTATGAATAGTGTGAGCTTTTGATTTGCAAGTTGATTTTCATTTTCTAAATTTAGTTTGATTTGACTACTTATCCTAGTTGGTAATCTAATATAGTGCTTTTTTCATAGTCAATTATATAGTAAGAGATGTACATTTTTTGTTCAAATATTCTTCGAGTTGCTAGATTAGGAATCATCTAAAACACTTTCGTAAATCTATCTCGTTCGTATGTACATCATTGGAAGCCCACAGTAATAACCAAATTCAAGAAATAATTTTGAGCCACTAACATATTATAAATATATTATTTCAACATGTTGAACTAATAAATTGAACTAAATTTAAAAGTTTTAGTTGTTAGCACGCAATGTGATTATCGTTTTCTTTTACTCAATTTTTTTATTCTCGAGTGACATTATAATATGAAGGAATAAGGCTTGTAATGGTCTAACGAAGGGAGAATAAAAAACAAAAATAAAATTAGATTTTCATTTGCTAATTTTTTAATCTATTTATATATAAGAAAAGAAATAGCTCATAAAAATACAATTTTACCCTCAATTTATCCTAGGTGTCAAGCTCTCCTCAATTCTCTCATTTTCTTATAATCGTAGGGTTGGAATGCTTGGTTTTATATATCAAACCAGTGTCCGTCGATAACATCCCACTTCATCATTGCTACAAGCTCAATTTCTTCTTTGGTGTGACTTGAAGCTAGATTTTTCTCTCACTTGCTTGAATGTTATACTAGATTCTCACCCGTGCGATGCACGGGACAAAATTTAATAAAAATGAAGTAATGGTTTTAAATCAACAACGGACAACAACATCAAATATTAATAAAATTATAATGTATGAAAGAGTGAAAAGAGAGTATAGGTATATGATAAATAGTTTAAAAAATGTAGGTGTTAATGTTTACCATTGTCCAAGAGCACATAAAATGTAAACATTATAATCAAAGAATCTTAGAGCAGTTTACTATCATCGAGCTTTTGGGTATATCTTTAACGCGTACGTACTTCACTTCAATTACTGGATGCACATTGACCAAAATTATTGTACTTAAGTTTGATAAATAAAACATGACATTGTTGTGCTGATATCTCAAAACAATATTGTATAAGTCTAATTTATTAATGTAATACAAAAAAATTACGATAGTATAAAATATTGCTCCAGTGTAAATATTTTGTAAGAATGTAATTGATATATTTTTCAAATATTTTTGGGATCATTTTAACACTTGTAAAAAACCTGCACAGTATAACTTTAGGCTGCTCAGCCCATCTGAATTCGAATAAACCTAGTCCAACATCCAATTTTTAATCTCCCAACCCACAACCCAAAAATGCCTTTCCATGAACCATTCTTTTGGCCTTGAAGATATTCCTGATCGAGTGGCATTTTTGTCTTTTCATACGGGGAAAAGGTGCAAAAACAAAGGTTTTTTAAAAACAGGGTGCAAAGTTCAATTTGAACAATAATATGCGGTACAAACTCAAATTACCCCTTTAATTTTCTCGTTGGAATACCATTACAGGCATAATGTGTTTAAAATAAATTGTTGAATGTTTAATGTATGAACTAAATCATCCTATTATTTGATAATATTTAATGTAAATGTGAACTCGGCTTTAATCTATAACATTAGTCTTCCCTCTCAATTTCAGAGAACTTTAACTTGAGATGACAACTCCTAAGAATACATAACTCTATTTGTTTTATTTTTGAAAAGAGTTTTAAGCATACGTCGACCAAATATAAATAGTTTTTTATGGAGCGTTAAGTTTTCACAAAACAATACAACATTGTTTTCCATCTTAGGAACCACTCTTCCCTAAAGTTTCAATAGACTCCTTGAAAAAGAACAACAAAATAGTGAGATGATGAAATGGGTTGTACCTTATATACGTAGTATTTTTTTTTGCAAACATATACGTACATAGTATTATTTGCAAAACAAAGTTTTTCTTTGGTTCTTCAAGCATATGACAGATGCATGGATGTTTTTCTTTGATTCTTCCTAAGAAGCAAAACTCAGGAAGATACCATGAAAATTAAAGCGTAGATCAACACAAAAAACGCAAGGCGCTATTCCTCTTCAACTTATCAAAGTATCTCAGACTCTTCAGCCGTCAGCTCTGTTGCTTATCCCCATCTTCATCCGCACAGTAGCCACACTCAGGCTCAACTTGTGGCACCTCCTCTAATTCTTGAATAGTTGAACATTTTCCATAGCTCTGTTGGAAAAAGTGTGTTAAAATTGCATTAAATGGTCATTTTGGGGCAATTATTTGAGTAGGGTCCACTTCTGATTTGGGTCGGGTCAAAGTGGTTTTGGATTATTCTTGCTGAGGACTACAATTCGATATATGGTACAGTCAAAACGGATAACGGGTGAATGAGAAATCGCTTTTCGAAGTTTACCCGTTGGAATGGAGAAAATTAGGAAAATGTGGGTTTTAGTGTGGGTTTTTTTCCCACACCGAAAATCACAAGGGAATTTGAACCCTTTATAAAGGGAACCCCCCTAAGGACTTAAGCTTCCTAAAGGGAAATGCTCTTTCACGCGCGCAGGGGGGTGCGAATCAAATCCCGAAACCGAAGTACAAAAAGCGCGACTTGCGTGTGCGGGCGACCTGCACACACAAATGTCATCCGAAAATCTATCTTCTAAAGATAACGTTAATTTTTGTTCTTCCGGTGCGTTCCTATTTTATTTTTGCTCCAACGCTGCCATTGAAATCCCAACGTTCATATGAATGTTTCAGGCTGTTTATTGGCTGGAATCAATGCCCAACGATTAGGACATTGATGTCCAACGTTCACAAGCCTTAAACAGCCATTAACACACCATAATCCACCCTATAAAAACTGTACTAGCAGGTGCTTTGCAAACACACAAGCTTCATACACTTCGTACACATATTTTCAGAGCAAAAACCACCTCTAGCATTCCATACAAACTCTTCTGTGTTCTGACCGTTGTTCACGTTCATTGGAACTTTAGTTTGAGTGCTAAACTATTGTTCGAAGTCATCGTATTCTGGGAAACGATCGTTGCAACGCTCCTAGCACTCCGGAAGACAATGAATACATTTTAAGGAAATCGTGCGTAACAGGAGCTTTGGCTTATTCTGCTTCATCTCATTTCTTGTTTTTCTTTTTCCTTTAAGTCATTTTATTAATTAATTTTATTAATTGATTTTCTTTGTTTTTCGAAACACACCCAACAAGCTTCTCATGGAGATCGACTACCGGCCCGTTTCTTCTCAAAGTGGAGTTGGTGACGGTGCCTAATGCGTGGCTGCAGGCCCGCCGGTGTCTCATTGGGTCAGGGGGTCTATGGCCGCTGCAGCAATGCGACCCTGCTGGCTGTCGAGCTACCCAATGTTCTACCTCACCAAATTGCTATCGGAAATACAAAAGCACTGTGAGCCGTCATGAGGTCCTGAGCCTCCTGGCAGCTTGGACTGTGTTGCCGATTTCAGATGAAATCAATGATTTCCCTTCCCATGGCGAGGTGCCTTCCGCTTTGATTAAAGAAAGGGAAATTGGTATTTTCACTGAGGCCTCTGCTCACTGATTCCACATCTATTGTTTTATATAGTAAAACTGAGTTATAAATGACTGATGTGTCAATTTCTTATTGGATGACAAAAACAACTAATATCATTAATATAAATTTAAAAACGTACGATTAATTAGCACTCAAAATAACATAAGAGTTTTAACATTTTGGAACTCCTAAAGTTAAGCCCGTATATTATTAATACTTGGAAAATTTTATGGTGCAACAGCGTTGGTGAATGTTTTGGTACATCCTACATTTGTCACCATGTTATTGGTAGTCTCATCCAACTCACTATTTTTAATTAAAAATAAGTTTTTTGCCTTAAAGTCCTTCCCAATCTTAAACCTTGAAAAAAATCCAGCCGAGTTATCGTTTTCGACCGCTAGAGACGGATGAACGAAAATCCAGCTGCGAGAGAGTCTTGGTTTGAGGCGAAGAGACCAGGGAAAAGGCACCGGAGGAACGAAAATCCGACATCTCAATCCAAGGTAGGTGTCATCATCTCTAATTCTTCCTCCGCTCCTCTCAATTCTTCTCCTGATTTTGTCAATAGAGATTTGGTAGATGATGATATGCATACCGTATGTCCGTATCTGTGTGTTTATTTTAGGATGTTTTCGCTCGATCTCCGTGTTTAAGTGAGAAAAATGAGTTGAATTTACCATCTCCTTGCGACATCAATGTTCGTTCAAGGAGATAGAACTGATGCAGAGAGTTAATTGGGATTGGCTTACCAGCCCATCACATTTTCTCTATTTCCATGGTGTCAAAAGGACCTACCCAAATTTCTTGCTGCACAAATTGTTTTAAGATTTGGTTCGTATTGTTTGCAAGTAAACTCCTAGTTTCTTGACTTTTTTTAACCAGGGCAATGATGATTGTTGAGATAAGCAGAATGTAAGAAAGATTGTTCTTGCACCAGCCTCCATCTAAATGATTTTTAATTAGCAAACCTTGTCGAAAATTTCTTAAGTCTTTGTCAAACAAGCACAATTGATGGACAATATATCTGGTGATTGAACGTCCTCCTGATAGTAATCAATAAGTTTTCCAGGATTTAGATTTGAATGGTAGTCTGAGCAAAGTACTAATAGATCAATGATAATATCATAATAGGCCTCAAATACTGTTTATAATCAAGAAAGTGTAATTTTATCTGATGAGTAATTGAGCCTGAAGCAAATTACCTACATATGCTTATAAAATTACCAAAGTTTTTTTTGATGGTCTGCTCACTTTAATTAATCTGCCATTTCCCCTCCAGCCTGCCCTAGGTTCTCTAGGAGTTCACATTAGGCACATATTCTTCCGGTGATTTGATGTGGGGAGATGGATTTGGAGTTTGAGAAGTACTGCGCATTGGATGGAAGTCCAAGCCCAACAAAGGTGCTTCTCCCCCGTCCATCAAAAACTCAAAAAGATGATCTCACGGGAAAGATTATTTAGCAACAACTACTTGTTCAGGAGAAGACTACTTCTTCACCAATACATCAGTAGATGATGATGAAGATTTTCTTAGGCGGAGTTCCTCCGATATGCAAAAACCGGACAATGGTGAGGAGAGGACAAAGATAGAATTCTCACGAGATAGCGCTGTCGCATTCTTGTTTGGAATTGTTGACGCATTGTGTGGCTTGGAAGATGATTACGAAGTCTCATCAAGCCCATTAGCAGCCTATAGCAGCGGCAGAAGACTACGCAAAAATTTCCACCATGACCTGTTTAATCTCAGTGTTGCTGCTGCAATGTTACCAGCACCTCATTTGCCTTTCTGGTCAGAAAACAGTGCTTCGAGAGCTAGTAGCAGCAGTAGTAGTCCAAAAGCAGTTCGGTTTGCCGGTTTGGTTCTATGAAAAGGGCCACTCGGTAAAAGAATCAAACCCCCAGAAAAGGAAATAGTGTATTGGGCAATTTGGAGGCGGCGGTTGAATCTGGGGTTAGGCTGCCGCCATTTGGATTACTCCTACTGCAGAAAGTGTTAATGGGGGAAACAAGATTTTTCAAACATGGCTTCATGCTTGCAAGGTGTTCTCATGCTGGAGAAGAAACGATGTGGCTTCATTCAGTTTTCATCACCTTTCTCTCAAGAAGACACAATTTTTGTGGCTGAGGAGAAGTGAAATTTATGGTATGAGTTTCGTTCTCTTCCTAGTAATAATAGAAAGAATGAGGAGAACCACTATAGATTCAAAGAGCACGCAATGGGCCATTTTGTTTTTGCAGAAACCTACACCACATGGTAATGAGCTCCTAGATCATGGCTGCAGGAATTTGGGGCATCATCTTTGTATGTAATAGCAATAAGCAAATTTCAATGTATCTATATTTCCTTGCTCTGGAGGTATGGTCTATATGTATGGTTTATTTCTTCTTTCTTAATTCTAGCTTTTCATTTAAATCTATATCATTATTTCTTATTTATGTCTATGAAGTTCTTTTAGTTTTTTATTCTTTTCTAGCATGTTTTATATTTTGAAAACCTGTATTCCTTTCTTTCAAGTTTTCTTTTTACGTATTTATACTTTATAATCTATTATGAAGTTATGAGAACCCAGGTATAAAACTAATGCAACTAGTTTTTGTATTTAGTTTTTCTATTATAAAGTGTAATGGTTCTCATTATACTGAGCTTAAGTTTTAGTTTTATTTTGTGAGACTCAAGTTAAGACTTCTCATAATGGGTTTTTGACCTTCTTTATGCTTGGACTGTGTTTTGATTTGAGGGTATCAAACTGACCAAGACATTCATGAATAACATTACTGAACTGTCAATGGGTTTTGTTTTGCAGAAATGATCTGCTAAAGCTGCAACCCTATAGCATTGAAGTGTATGCACTTCCACTTGATCAGGCTGTGGACTTGAGGAGGTCTCAAGGGGATGACGGCAACATCAACAAACTGATATTGCTATCTCCAAGATTTGTTCTCCCTGCTATCGTTCATTGAGTATATGATTCATCTGTGTAGAGCATTTGTTTTTGAAAATGAGACTTGATCCCAGACTTGATCCCTGTCGTCTTAAATCATCTATTTATGATAATACTTTCAAACTGTAACAGTAAAAGGGACAGAATCAATACACAATAAATTGAAAAGGCTCACATTTAATTCTTCTTTAATGAATACCATGTATTATGGAAAAGTATTTCCACTATTGTGACCAAATTGGATAAGTACTTCTATGTTTTCTTCTCTTATTATGTTTTAAAAAAAATATGTTCAATTTTTTTACAATTTTTTAATATGTTAGTTGTTGAGGTTTATTTCTTCAACCCGCAGGCCCAACACGTAACCTGAGGGTTTCGAGTGGAAAGTAGGGTAGTAAGATGAAGAAACAAGTAGGAAATGGGCCAACAACTGTCTTTACTCACTCAAACTATTACAAGCCGAAGGGCCGAACGTATTGTGCTATGCTATGAACTGCTATTACTGCTAGAGTGCTAGAATGCTAAATTGCGAACCCTTTATAGTGAAATAAATGCTACTATTTATACTGTCAAGGGGTAGTTGGATGTATTGACGTGGCTGGCTGTGGGCGACATAATCTCAATCACCAAATCTTCCGCATTAAATGCGCTTCCCGCCAAGATGTTGGTTTCCCGCCATGGGGTGGGGACGTTCGTCCCCAAAAGCCGGACCATTGTCCCCGTTCGTCCCCTGCACTTAGCCTCGTTGATTCACTCTTAAGCTGTCCTCAGCGTCTGGTCACAAGGTGGGGATGCCCGTCCCTAGCCATAGTAGTAGGGGTACGTACGTCCCTGGACCCTTGGGCCTTGATGCCCTGGTATCTTGGCTTGGGTGCATTGTTACCTGCTAGCAATGGGGTACGCACATCTCCTGGCCCTTTTGTGCCTGAAGCCTGGCCTTCTTCTTGGGCTTGTAGTAGGATGTTAGCAGGATATCCTTGGGCCCCTTTGGGGACGTTCGTAGGAGGCCCCAAGGGTTGATGGGCTGGCCCAGATCGGGCCATTAACCCAACATTAGTTAACGGGGAACCACTAGTTTTCATTCACATAAGGTCATTCAAATAGGTGTATACAACAACAAAAAAATAGATGTATAATTTATGAACTTAGAGCCTGTTTGGTGGCCACTATAGACATGGCGGCTTAGGTATAGTCGATTCTTATTAGTGATGGACTCGGGTCAGCCCGGGTCAGGCCTTGAGCCGGGCCTGACCGAGCTTTTTATTTGTTTCTTGAGACCCGGAACCGGCCCGAGTAGCTACTGGGTCCGGGTCGAGTTGGAAACCTTTTTTTTTTATTTTCTAATTATTTCCTACCCCCACACCCCAAACCCCTCCAAAACACCCAGCCCAACCAATTTACCTCCCAAAGAGTTTGAAAGACCAAAAAACAATTGGCCCGGACTGAGCCGGGCCGAGCCGGGCCGGTTCATTTTCTGCAGACCCGGAGCCTGGCCCAAAAATTGGCGCTTCGGGTACATAGCACCCGGCCCGGAATCGGGCCTCGGTTCGGTCTGGTTCATAACAATAACGGGCTGGTTTCGGTCCGGTTGATCCGGCCCGAGTCCATCCCTAATTGCTGATTTAGAATCAATTGATTTACAGTCTTAATAAGATGAGACATGTGCACATAATTTTTGCCTTATTAGTCGTATCCTCGGTTTGCGGAATAATTGTGCTTGGAACCGGTCAGGATCCGGTTTCGAGCCAAGTCCGCCTCGTCCTAAAAAACTCCTGAAACTGGATTCGACTAGCTTAGCTCCAACTACCTGGTATGTATGGTCCCAAACTCCCAATACCAAACACGGTTCCCTTTTTTTTTAGTTTTTTGGCCAATTTGAAGCCAAAAAATAAAAAATAAACAAATTATGAGTGGAGAGTGCAATCAGGAGTGGAACTGGCCCGCCCGGTTTGGTTCCCAAAACTGTAAACCTGGACCGAGAGCCGCTCTACAGCAACCATGACTGGTACAAGGCCTGAAACCATTCTAAACGGCGGACGAGGTCATATCTCAAACAATGTTGGACCAGGTCCGCATATTATCAGCTATTCCTTCTCTCTAGATACCACAAACAGTATTTTGGTGATATATCGGTAGTGAAAAAAGTAACGATAATTATTATAATATTATAATAATACTAATAACAATAGTAAACTTTATATATAGATAGAATTTGCAGGAATTTAGGTGGATCTCACGTGGTGGATTATATAATAATCAAAATAAGTAAATTTGGTGTTACTTTTTATGACTTTATTGAATGATGTTAGTATTGAGATCATCTTAGCTATTTTTCATATATTTTTTCTTTGTTTTGTTGATAAAATATATTTTAAATATGGAATATAATTTTTTCTCCCATAATTCAGCATATTCAGTCAATTTAGACGCTTCAATCATAACTTTATCAGTTTTCAACAAATTTAATTAATCCAAATATATATTGAATTTTCAGTAATTTTAAGAAGATTGAGAATATATACTTCACATGGAGTATATTGTAGCAGAAATTTGGAAAAGTTGTGGAAATATATACTATACTATTAGTACGTAACGTACTCCGCATGGAGTATGAGTTAAGTGGGAGGACTACATATATAACAAAACAAAATAACAAAGAATTAAGGGGCCATTCAGCTATTCTCTAATTTCCGATTGCAAATGCTGACTTGGATAAAAGAAACTGATGAGATTTCCGCCACATGGGCATATGCATCAAAACATTTTGCAATGCTTATCCAAAAGTTAACAACGAATTCTTAATGGTCTACAATATAGTAATAATAATTGATAGAGTATATCTCCTAAATTCTAGAGAGAAGCGAGAGCTAGAGAGAGAAGTGCAATAATATGCTTCAATAGAATGAATTTGTGACCCCTATAACTACTCCCAAGGGGAGTATTTATAGAGAAAATTAGGGTTGGGCTCCCAAGCCTTGGGCTTGGGAGGCCCATTTACAACTGGACCGCTACTGGGCCGAATACAAAGCCTCTAATGGGCTGTGCAAATGAGTAAGTATAGAATCCGATCCTGGGAGGTCTTCGTGGCCGACGAGGGCGTGGCCGACGAGGGCACGGCCGACGAGGGCGCGGCCGACGAGGGCACCCGAGTCCCTTAGACTCAGGACCGTAATCTGAGTTGGCCCCTTTTCGGCCGACGGGGGCGTCTTGGCCGACGAGGGCGCCACTCTGTTGTCTTGTGCTCTGTTCTTCCGAGTATGTGGGTCCTGGGGCTCAGGCCCATATACTCCATCAGGAGTCCCCCACTCTCTAAGCTGAGACGTAGACGAAGTGAAGGAGAGTAGATTTCTGTGCTTTGTTGCTTTTGGCCGACGCGGGCATTTCCAGGCCGTTAGCCGTTGCGGTATTGGCGTTGTTTCCATTTTGGTGATCCTGTTATGTGTTCTGGCCATTACCTGCTCCTTGCTGTGGGCGGGGAGGCCGTTGTTTCCTTGACGTGTTCGTTTGAGGACGATGAGTGTCTTATTCCGATGTCGGCCGTTGAAGGCGCGCTTTCCCTTTCCTGGACGTTGGTGGTTGACGTTTATGTTTGGGCCGGTGAGGTTGTTCCTTGCTTTGAGGACGATGGCGTCCTTTCCTTTGGGTGGCCGATGAGGGTGCTCGCGCACTCCTTTTGGCCGTTGCTGGTTGGCCTTCGTGTTCTTGGCCGAAGGGCCCGTCAAGATTAATTGTTGGCGGAGGACGATGAGTGTCCTTATCTCTAGTGGCTTGTTGGCCGTTGCTAATGACGTTTTGGGCCTTTGGCCGATGAGGTTCCGTTGGGCTGTGTGGATGATGTGGCCATGTTTTGTGGTTACCTTGTTTATACTCTTTGTTTCGTTGAGGCCGGTGTAGTCCCCCAGTCCCCCACTGCTTCAGGCCGAAGAGTGTGAGGGGTGAAGGAGTTGTTTGAGTCCCTGGCCGAAGCGGTCTCGCCGTAGTCCCCCTGAATCCAACTCTCATGGCGATTTTCTGTCCAAGGTAACCCTGTGGGAGAACCCTTGTGCGCAGATCGCTTGTAGAGAGTTATCATCAAGGGTTATTACGAGGAGCCGAAGGCTGTGGGCTATTTGTCCCCTTTGTTCTGTGGCCGTTACGTTCCTGGCCGTTGCCATCCTCTTATTGTTTGGCATTTGTGATCTTGGTGAGCAAGTGGGACGTTGTGGGCGCTTGCTGGCAGTTGTAAAGCCGTTGAGCGTGTGTAGGCCGTAGAGTCTGATTTGCCGGTGGGCCGTTGATATGGGTTGGTCCTGGCCCGTTGGTGACGTGGTGGCCTCCCAGTGGTGGCCGTTGATGTGGCCATTGGGAGAGTGCCACGTGTAGTGACCGTTGGTGGGGGGGTCTATAAATACCCCTTCCCCTCCGACGAGGAATCACATTTGTATTCTGAATTTGTCGAAGTGCTGGCCGATTTTCTAGAGAGAGAAACTCCCAAGCCTGTTCTTCGTGTTCTTCGTTGTTCGAGGTTAGTGTTCATCACGATCTTCCTCGCTTTTCATACTTTGCTTCCTAGGTAGTTGATCTAGTGTTAGGCGTTTAAACACCTTTAGATCTTAAGTTGTTCTCCTTAAGCCCGTAGTAGTAGTAATGAAGAGCTTGAACGAGGACTACTACCCCTACGACGACCAGCCCTCCACGAGGTCGCTTGATTACGAGGTGCTCGAGGAGTTTGAAGAGGAGATAGAGCATTTGAGCCCCTACAAATCCGGAGAGCTGATGGACGAGGAAGGCGAGGACGAGGAGTCCGCCTCCTCTTCAGAGGGTGAGGACGTAGGCGCGTCCCGAGCGGTGGACGGGGCGTCCACTTCTGCTGCCGTTCCGTGCCCGAGGCCGGTGTCTGCCGTGAAGGGAGCAGCTAAGCCGAAGAGGGTGAGGAGGCCGAAGAATGGGCCGGGCCTCTCCTACTTGGACCTCAACAACATATTCCTGATCAAGCCGGAGAGCAGTGCGGCCGACTATCTTGTCGCCCAAATGTACGTGGGGCCGTTCGGGCGGGTTAGGGCACCCAGGCCGACGGACCATGTTCTACTTCCGCCACCAGGATACTTTGGAGTATACCCGATGAGCTTTGCTAAGGGGTTGAGGTTCCCCCTTCACCCTTTCGTCATTGAGTATCTGGACATGGTGGGGCTTCCTCCGGCCTTGCTGACGCCGAACAGTTATTCCTTGATGGTGGGCTTTTTACTTCGGTGTGAGGAG